GGTCCCCAGGGCTCCCCGAGCCTCCAGGCTCCCAAGCTTTCAGGCTCCCAGGCCCCCAGGCTCCCAGGCCCCCAAGCTCCCAGGCCCCCAGGCTCCCAGGTACCAGGCTCCCAGGCCCCCAAGCTCCTAGTCCCCCAGGCTCCCAGGCCCCCAGGCTCCCAAGCTCCCAGGCTTCCAGGTTCCCAAACTCCCAGGCTCCCAGGCCCCCAGCCTAACAAGCTCCCAAGCTCCCAGGCCCCCAGCCTAACAAGCTCCCAAGCTCCCAGGCCCCCAGGCTCCCAGGTACCAGGCTCCCAGGCCCCCAAGGTCCTAGGCCCCCAAGCTCCTAGGCCCCCAGCCTAACAACCTCCCAAGCTCCCAGACCCCCAGCTAACAAGCTCCCAGGCCCCCAAGCTCCCAGGCCCCCAGGCTCCCAGGCCCCCCAGGCTCCCAGGCCCTCAGGCTCCCACACCCCCAGGCTCTCATGCTCCTAGTAACACAAGCTCCCAACGAAAGCAAATGGACTTCTCAATTTTGAATGTATAGCGACGTGAAGTTCGACCCTTCATAGTGGACCGGAAAGAGCATGGCACTCCCTTAGGGAGCCGGAGAAAGCTGTTTACATCGAACTATCCAGTCATAAGAAGCCATTATCCTAATTCTGTAGGAATCAAGACAATTTAAACGTGGAAATCCACTCTGGAAGCAAATGGACTTCCCATTTTCGAATGTACAGCGAAAGTAGTCAAGCGACTGTATGCCGTGCATAAGCAGTCTGGAAAGGATTTGAACTTGATGCTATTTAGCCCAGCACAAGTAATATCCAACCTTGACCACGGATCTGGAGCAACCGCTGACGGAAGAGAAGAAATGAACACTGAACACAACATAACACAAAAATGCAAAATATACACGGACATAAAGTTAAAGAAATGAATACGACTTAGCCAGCTTGGCTGCTGGACTGCCATGCTTGCACAGTCGAACTACCTCGCTCACATAGACCGCGGTTAGCTGCTTGCATGAATAAACAGAATGGTTCCAC